GTACATCTCAAGAATTAATAAAAGGACCAGAAAAAGCACCACGTGCAATTTCCACACCTCTTGGTTGAACAATTGGTGATCCAATAGCCGATATACTCGGGAATTCAGTTTTCCGAGCCTACTTTTCTCACCACAACCACATCAACGAAAACGCTCACCTTTCCGAACTACTAGCATCAACCTGGAGAATGGAAACTTACGGAACCTCTCCGGAGGGAACCCTCTCCAAAGACGAGAAACACGCCCTTGAGACCCTTCGGCAGACTATCACCTACACGTACGGAAGGTATCAAGACGGACTTCTCTGAAAACCGAACGCCTGCTTTCCCAACAACTACTTTGCTGCCGCTCAACAATTCAAGAAAGTGAAGACCCGCCTTCTCAACGAACCCGACAAGCTTGCAATGTACCAGGTCACAATCGCAAACAATTTGACCATGAAATACTTTCGCAAACTTCCAAGCGAAGAGATTCCCTCAACAATATGGATACTGCCAGAACATGGAGTGACGAACCCAAATAAGCCTGGAAAACTCCGCAGAGTTTCAAACGCGAAACACGAATTCAAAGGAGCTTGCCTAAACGAGATGCTTTTATCTAGACCGGACCTCATAAGCAACCTACTCGCCGTTATTTGCCGTTTTCGAGAACGAAAAAATCTCATCAATGCAGACATTGAAAGCAAGTACATGCAAGTTTCCGTCAGACCCGAAGACAGGAAATTTCTCAGATTCATCTGGGGAAAAACTCAGCCAGATTTATACGAGTATAATCGTTTCGTTTTTGGCGCTAAATGCTTGTCAACTTGTGCGAACTTTGCTCTCCAAACTTGTGGTGATGAAAACAAAAACGATTACTCCAACGTCAAAGAATTTATTGACAGCAACTTCTACATGGACGATTATTACAAGTCAACCAACACCGTGAAAGAAACATTACAAATATCTATTGATCTGCGAAAGGTACTCGCCACAGGTAGTTTCAACCTGACTATGTGGATCACTACAAACCCAGAGATTTTAAGTGCAATACCTCAGCAACACCGCGCCATATCTCACAACTAATTGAATGACCCAAAAACGACGAAATGTATATTGGGAATTGAATGGAACAATTCCTCTGATTCACTAGTTTTTCAACAGAACAAAATCTGGATCTGAAAAGGAAGAAGCCAACGCAGCGCAACCTTCTTCATACTTCATCCTCCATATTCGACCCTATTGGCTTCGCCGCACCTGTCACAATTCGCCTCCGAACTCTACAGCAACAAAGTTGGAGAAAAGGACTAAAATGGGACAATCAAATTACCAAAGAGCACCTACCCAAGCTTTTTGATCTTCTCCAAGAAGCCGACAACCTTCAACAGCTGCACGTACCTCGCCATTATTTCGCTGAGCCTACCTCAGAATTTACCTTGCACATCTTTTCAGATGCCTCATACGCAGCTCTTGCTTCAGTAGCTTACCTTGTTTACGCAACGGATTCCGATTCACAGCCAAATATTACGTTTGCTTTAGGTAAGGCCCGAGTAGCCCCGTTGAAGCAACACACCATCACGAAACTGGAAATCCAAGCAGCTCTGTTTGGTGCCCGTCTTGCTAGTTTCATTAAGTAACAACGTTTCTCTGTAAACCACATTTATCTCTGGACGATAGCAGCACAGTTTTGCAATGATTTCTTGGATCAGACAAAAGACCATTAATCTTTGTTGCAAATCGTGTAGCAGAGAAACTGGAACTCACACCCAATCTACTCAGTGGAAACACTGCCCAGGTTACCTCAACCCCGTCGATGATGGAACACGTGGAATCCCCTTTTCAGTTTTCAACCTTAACAGCCATTGGTTGAATGGACCAGCTTTCATTCTTCAGCCAGAAGATGCTTGGTCCAAACCTCCCCTTAAAACAGACTCCCCTTCGAACACTCTGAAAAGCGACAGACAACATGATTGCGTTTTCAGTGTTACCGAAAATTGTTTGCCCGATCAGCATCACTCTTGCTATGTTACAGCCTTCCAAGATCCCATGGTTAGCCGGTCTTGCATCAATTACGAGCGCTTTTCGAAGTGGAATCGCCTTCTCCGCGCAAAAGCTGTTGTTCTTATTGCCGCCACACTGTTTAGAAACTCAACCAGCAAATATTCAATCGATCGATCCGTATCACAAACCCTCATCAGAAACTTCGTCAACTAACTTGATTCAGTTTCCACCCTCAGCAATATCACCGCCTTTGACAACTGAAGAAAATCGACACCATAGTATCACCCTGAACGCATACGACATCGACTTGGCAATAAAATTTCTTATCAAAAAATCACTAAGGGACTCTTTTCCGAACGAGCTGAAAGTTCCCCAGAAAAGAAATATCGTTGCTACCTTTAGCCGAATTCGACACCTCTTGCCTTTTCTCGACAAATCGAACATCATGCGAGCCAAAGGAAGACTACAAAAGTCAAGACTTGACTATTGTTCAAAGCATCCCGCTATTTTAGATGGAAAATACCCAGCAATTTACCTCTTCATACAAAATGTTCACATCTCTAATGAGCATTCCCCACGCGAGCATACACGCAACACACTCCAAGCTGATTATTGGAATCTATCAGCCAGATCTCAAATACGTAAAATGTACAACAGTTGTTACGACTGCCGATGCCAGCTCGCCTATGGACTCCAATCTGAAATATCTCCTCTCCCTTCATGTCGATTTCCATCAGATAAGCCATTCCTTTTTCAGCAAACTGGCCTTTTTGGACCCTTCACGTCAAACTAACTTTTTTGGACCCTTCGCGTCAAACAATTCAACCACCTATAGCAAACGGTATGGTTTGACTTTTTAATGGCATGACGACTCGCGCAGTTCATCTGGAAA